TTTGTTTTTATTATAGACTAAAGTTAAAGCTATACGAACCCATTTGTTTTTATTATAGACTAAAGTTAAAGCTATACGAACCCATTTGTTTTTATTATAGACTAAAATTAAAGCTATACGAACCCATTTGTTTTTATTATAGACTAAAGTTAAAGCTATACGAACCCATTTGTTTTTATTATAGACTAAAGTTAAAGCTATACGAACCCATTTTATTTTATTATAGACTAAAGTTAAAGCTATACAAACCCATTTTACTTTAACTTTAGTCTATAATAAAACAAAATGGGTTCGTATAGCTTTAACTTTAGTCTATAATAAAACTATACAAACCCATTTTATTTTATTATAGACTAAAGTTAAAGCTATACAAACCCATTTTGTTTTTAGACAGCAATGACAGGTATGAAAAGAGACTGTGGAGGTGCAGCTGGAATACTTGGAGCTTTTTATGTGTCTGTAAAAATGGTAAGAAACATTAACAAATATATCACTTAACTACACATATACTTGTATAGATAATGTTTGAGATGTATAATATTTAAATAGATAAATTAGTCCAGTTTTATTATAACGTGATACAAGATAACTTGATGCACGAAGAACATGCCTTAAAGATGTGATTAGGCTTAAAATAACCTTGTATGTGTACATTTAAAAAATATCAGTTATTTTTGAATAATCGTCAACCCACTCCTTGATGCGTTTTCTCGACTAATGTCAGTTATTTTCGAGTATTTTTTTGCTAGTAGTAGTATTCTAGCAATGTAAAGATTACATCTGGACATTGTACCAAACTAAAAGGATATTAAAATAAACAAAATTTTGCTGAACGTAAAGTCTGACTATAAGTTTCCATTGTAAAGCTGTTAACCTAAAAATATGCAAATTAATTCATGAGTGTTTGTGAAATGTCAATGATTTTGTGTGTGAAGTTTAAGAAATATTGAATGCTCTTTTACTTGATATGTAAAAAAAAAAAAAGAACGTATGTGACGTGCTGGAAATTTACGTTTTATTTCTGCAGGGTTTTCGTAGCAATCTTCATGCTGTGTTCTGTTTAGCAGAGAATGCTGTAGGTCCTAACGCAACACGCCCTGACGACATCATCACCATGTATTCAGGAAGGTAATAACAATCTGAACTTAACTCTTTCAGCACGTGCTCGGTCCCTGGGACTGACCTCATAACCATTTTGTGCTTGTTATAGTTTTCATTCTATAACTTTTAAATTATTAAGCGAATGTTAACGAAATTTGGCAGATTATCAGTAAACATTACAATGCTTTCATATGTAAAATGTCATTTTTTTATTAAGTCTTAAGGTTTATTAAGCAATGTTTCTCTCGTGTCTTCTTTTTTCTTTTTGTAAATGGTTTGTGCGATTATAGGTAGTTTGCAGAAAATAGCATGTAATAGCTTAATGAATCATTGAGGTCAGTTATATTATAACAAGTGTCTAAATGAAATTTTCTGTTAGACTTTTGACAGTTATCGTACATCTTAACAGTGTATGTGACTCATGTTTGTATTTTAATTACTTCTGGATAAAGTTGGGAAACTAAGCCTTCACTGGTCGATTGATCGTCTGGCGCATTAATCGATAACATGTAACTCACATGAAATTTAGATAGTTGGTTTAATCAAAATGCTAATTCCAGTCAGTTGATTATTTCTCGGATATCAATCTATTTAATGCTAATTTTGTTTAAGCTGTTATTTTATGTGGCTAATCAACGTGATGAGTGCTCATGGATAATCGGGTTAGTCACCCAGCGCTACATCTACATGATAAGTGATTTATAATATACATTAAAACAAACTGTAAAACTAGTATTGTTGAATAAATAAAACGGATATATCATAAAAAAGTCAAAATGAAGAATAAAATATCACTAGGTTTTGCCATAAAAACAGTTTAAACTAAGTTTAAAAAAGAGCATATAATATCACAATATATTTAAAACACGATGTTTTACATTCAATCTTAAACTTTATTTTAGGTGTTTTAACTATCTTTTGTTTTTTATAACAATACAATCCTTTGTTTATATTTTTCAATTTTAAACGTTTCTAGGTTTACCTACAGGCAAATATCAGAACTGAAAGAACCTGTGGGATATCACTAAACTTTAAATGCTTTGTTAAACAAGTCATAATAATATTACACTGAAGCTAATTGTGTATGTAAAAATTTAAACTAAAAAATATTGATATTAAATAAATCTTTAACTTTCACTCCATCTGGAAGAATGAAAAATGTTGTTTTTTATTGTATTAATGAAGATTTATGGATTTGAAACTAGTAATGCATTACACCTCTCTGGTTTTTTGAGTGGGATGACATACCAGACCTTTTTCAGACCCGAAGAAGTATAAACTGAAATTTTATTCCACTTTGGGGCTGTGGAGACACTAGAAAGGTGACATTTAGTTCCCACTGTTTAATCAGACAAGAGTTAGTAGTGTCTTTCTTTAGCCTGTCATCTCAAAATTAGAGACAGATAGCCCATGTGTAGCTTTGTGCAATAAGCAAACAAATAATCACCAATAAGAAATAAGGCTTGAGAGAAGTCCATTACATGTTTCAGATATTAATGAGTTGTGTACTTTAATCTGTGGAATTTCCTTACTTTTGCTGTGTGGTTATACAAATACTATAGTTAATGGAAGCTGACTTAAAAGATTTAATTGGTTAGGCCACATTTAGAGTGTAGCGTTCAGGCTCGGGCTCCTTACCTTAGGGAAGACATGAGCAAGGGTTCAGAGAAGGGTTGCTAGGATGCTACCTGGAATGGAAAAGTTATCTCTTGACAGAAGTAGGGGGATCTGATTGAAGTGTTTAAGATTGTTAAGGAAATTGATGGTGTTGATGCATCATCTTATTTAATGGTGGAAATGAGGACACAAATATAAATTGTGGCAGAATAGGAGTCATCTTCAACTAAGACAGCTTTATCAGGATAGGAGTCATCTTCAACTAAGACAGCTTTATCAGGATAGGAGTCATCTTCAACTAAGCTTTATCAGGATAGGAGTCATCTTCAACTAAGACAGCTTTATTTTTTATAACAGGGTGGTAAGCCTCTGCAATGGGTTACCTTCAGATGTGGTTAATTTAAGAGAGTTTGAGAGAAATCTTGATAAGTATATGAATGATAAGAGCTAGTTTTAAGTGTTTAGTTTAATTTGCTGGATACGACAGCCTAGATGAACTAAAAGGTCTCTCCTTTAATGTTATCTGTTCATATACGGCCCTTCATGAAACATCTTCAGACACAGTTAATAATATTATTAGATTGTTTAATTGCTGGGATTTTACCTAAATGTTTGAGGCATTTTTCGTTTTCTAATAATACAGAACTGTCGAAATCAACAATACTGATGCAGAAGGAAGATTGGTTCTTGGAGACGGAGTAAGTGGCTTTTTTCTCTCTCTCTCTCTGATACAGATGATGTTGCAAGTTATATTTTTACCGTGTTAAGATACAAAACATTGATTACGAAGATGTTCCGTACTGATTTCGGTGGTTTGTAAAACTGTGTTTTATTTTATATGCTTTATGGAATTCCCTTTATGTGCTTGTTCATATTATTGTGTGTATTAAAATTAACTTCAAAATCCTAGGTTGCATATGCTCAGAAAGATCTACATGCCAACATCATTGTTGATATGGCAACTTTGACAGGAGCCCAGGGTACAGCCACTGGGAAATATCATGCTGCTTTGCTGACAAACAACAGTGACTGGGAACATGCTACTGTTCAGGCTGGTAAGAATTGTGGAGACCTTGTCCACCCTGTACCATATTGTCCCGAACTTCACTTTAGTGAGTTTGCAAGTGCTCTGGCAGATATGAAAAATTCAGTTGCAGTAAGTTGAATTTTATTTTGTATGCCTAGATAATAAAAAAACGTGTCAAAGATAAATGTTTCTCATAAATTCAAGATCTGGAGCACTGTTACAAAAATTATGATTTTAATTAACTCTCTCACTATGAATATAAAAGTGTTAACTCTAACTATGAATATAAAAAAGTGTTAACTCTAACTATGGGTATAAAAGAGTGTTAACCCTAACTATGAGTATAAAAAGTGTTAACCCTAACTATGTGTATAAAAAGTGTTAACCCTAACTATGGGTATAAAAAAGTGTTAACCCTAACTATGAGTATAAAAAGTGTTAACCCTAACTATATGTATCAAAAGTGTTAACCCTAACTATGAGTATAAAAAGTGTTAACTCTCACTATGTGTGCAAAAAAGTGTTAACTTTAACTGTGAGTATAAAAGTGCACGTCATGACTTTATTTTATTGAGTTACATTCAAAATTTAATGAAACTACTTTATTATTAATGTATACAAATAAACTTGGCATCAAAGTGTAGTTAATAAATCAAATTATAAGTTTTCATTTCTAATTTCACAAAGAAATATTTAGATAAATTTTCAGTCTGCTTATCTACATAACTTGCATTTGTTTGTTTTGACTTAAAAATTTTCTATTTCTTTGTCAACCCTATCTGACGTCCCGTGTGTAATGTATATTACTCATTATTGTGTAGATATTACTATGGCATTGTCTAATTTTAATATCTTCCAATCCTTTCTGTATATGGAGATATAAACCAGGAAATCAAACCTGCTTGCCACACCCTCCTATCACATCCCCTCTCTCTCTCACTGTTTACCAATAATTAACGTTTGCTATTACATCATTAATAACCAATAGAAAGACAGAATTCTAACTTACCAAATTTACCTTGATCTCAATAAGGATTTTTAGTTATTTTTCCCTACAGATTAAAAGTTACTATAATTCAGTCCAGATTGAACACTTAATAAGATAATTATAGGTAGTTATGCCTTAGTTAGAAAGCCAGTTAGTTTATAATAGTTATAGGATGATGTTTGCTGTGTGCATGTTATTATTTTGTGTTTGTAAGGGCATATTTCAAATAAATAATTATTTATTGTACAAAAGTAGAGTTAAATTTCATTGGCAGGCTGACAGCAACAAAACAAGAGGGCAAAATGTAAAATTCAGGAAATTATTAGGTTAGATAAGAAAACATTTGTCCACTAGGTATGTTTGCGAGTAGCTCGTGCATTACTTCGTTCGATACGGTAAATTGGCACGCGTTCACCATGTGGTTTACAGCTTGTATTGCAGGATTATTAGTTCATCACGGTTCGACAAGCAATAAAATTAAATAGAATCAGGTGTAAACTGTTATGAGTCTGAAGCTATTTGGGATAAATAATTTCAATTTTCTGTTACAATTTGAAGTCATTCTGGGAAGAAAAAAAAGGATTATTTAGCTTTATTTGTAATTGTTTTGTGGTAGTTTCAAAGTTAGTCATATCGACCATGTCCGTATAGTGTCAGGGTAGAAAAAACAACAGATAAGATATAAAGTTTTACTGGAAAAACTAATTTAACAGGTTCTAGAAGTCTTTAACATGGAAATCACCTTGTGTTCGGACTAGTCAGACTTTGAATCAGACTCTGACTATATAAATTCACAGGCAAGTCTTTAATAAAAAATAATTTATTCAAAATCTGATTTTTTGTGTACAAAAGGTTTGTAGTGTTTACTAAAGATTGCCAAATTTCATGAAGATACACATACCATATTAAAAGTTATAGTATGGATACTTTCATGGTTACAAAGTCGGTCAAAATGACCGTGAGTTAAGCAGTTTTTGTAAAATTCACAGAAGGATCATTTAAATAAAGTTAGTCAACAAATGTTTTCTTTCTAATGCAGTTATTTTTATAATGAGATCATATCTACATTTTACCTTTAACGACAGTCTACGTAATACTTTATAACAGCTGGAAAACAAATGCAATATTCAATGTAACTTTTTAAAATCTTGTATGTGGATGTCTTACATTCTCAAAGAACTATAGTAAATAAAATTTAGGCATTATCTTGAGGAGTACGTATTCTTACAGAGCAGCACTGCTGCTAATTTGGAGTATTGTTTACCAAGCATTAACCTTCTAGCTTTTAAACTTTCTCATTAATACTCATTGTTTGACATTGTGTCTTTTGTGCAAATTAATTTTCTCTTACAGAAAACTTCAAAACTCTGACATAAATAAGATTATATTGTCACTCAGCCTACTTTACAGTGTTTTTACATATGAAAGTTTCAATTGCACATTAATTAGTTTTTGTTCCATTATTCTGTTGATTCTTTAGGATCGTTCCAATGCCCAGCCCTCGTGTGCAGGGCTTTTCATAGGAGCTAATCTTGGATTTGATTACCCTGGAGTGTGGGTCCACGTGGACATGGCCTATCCTGTCCACTGTGTAAGTCAATTCTTGTTTTGGATAGTATTTTGGAAACTTTGTGCAAAGTTGTTTACACATTATTTTTTTGTATATTACTTGTACACCACAAAATAACCTCTTACCTCATAATAACATTGTTGTTTACTGAGTTTTGTTATTGTTGAGACTGAGACATGGGTTAAGAATCACCGTAGATAGTTGTAACTTATTTCTACCCTCCTTTGTAAGTTTTTTCTTTCATAAGAGATTTGCTAACCAAATAATGCAAACTGTAAAGAAATGATAAACCCAGCAACCTAAAATTTACTAGTCAATTTTGTCTTTATGGGAAACGTAAGAAATGGATAAAATAAGCACAATCATAATTACATATAGAATATTATTCTTTGAAAGAACAGTTTACTCTTCTGCCATCATAGTATTTAAAAACATTATTTATCTGTAAATTTGGTTAACATTAACCACCAAACTGTTTCCTGGATGCAGCATTAATTAACAGAAGTTTCTCCCGAAGTAACGAAAATCGCCATTGTGACTTCTTCAGTTAATACATTTAAAATAATGATGTATAATAGATAACATTTCTGTAATATGTTTACTGATATTGAACATGTGAATAGTACAATCTCTGGTTTTTTTAACAGACTTGATTAAACTCGTGTATCTGTAGTCTAATATTTGTCATATTCTTGTTGTTTTTTTTCTGTAGTACTTTTAGTATAAACGGTACTTGGAACATAATTTTATTCCAAAGGATTCGTCAACACATATAAAAATAAATCACTGTGCTTTTTTCTTCGTTAAGGGTATGGAATACTTCTGTTCTTATAAAATAAACGAGATACAATATCTGTCTAACTATTTCATAAAACAGTTTCACTGGTAACATCCACTGGAATGTATTCCATAAAGTACTTTTCATCTTTGGATCTTCTTCAAAACTCTGCACTTTTTAAAATAACCACCCATCATCTTTTAAAAGTAAAATTATTTGATATACAATTAGCTTAACGATAGAAAAATATACCTACAATAAGACTTTGTTTGTGTCTAGATATGTTTCGGTAGATATCTCTGTACGTTTCTAGTTTATCTGTAGACAACAATCGTTGTCTTTACTTAATTATTTACACAAACGTCACGTGACGGACTGACAGTCCCTGTAAACAGAATTAACGTTGAACTGCCGTTGTCGTGTAGGTAAAAGTAAAATACCGTTACTTACTACATTACTTTAATGATCTGTTGGCTACATCTGATTATACATGATGTCTGGCTGTTATTATTCTCAACACTGATACAGTACAAGTAGCTGTATCAGAGGCCCGACATGACAAGGTGGTTAGAGCACTCGACTCGCAATCTGTGGGTCGCGAGTTCAAATCTCCATCACACCAAACATGCTCGCCCTTTCAGCCGTGGGGGCGTTATAATGTGACGGTCAATCCCACTATTCGTTGGTAAAAGAGTATCCCAAGAGTTGGCGGTGGGTGGTGATGACTAGCTGCCTTCCCTCTAATCTTACACTGCTAAATTAGGGACGGCTAGCGCAGATAGCACTCGTGTAGCTTTGCGTGAAATTTAAAACAAACAAGCTGTATCAGGTATACATTTCTCCTGCAATATTTTAATTATTATATATATATTGAGTACAACCTAATAAAATTCTTGATGTTGACTCCTTTGTGCTATTTGTTCTGACTGTGACTGGTTTTTCTTTGTGTAGTTAGCATGAAATGTTTTAACCCATGAATTATCAGTGGAGACCCCAATAATGTTACGAACACTTCTATACACCTAATTGTGGACTGTTGATTACAGGGCCCCAAATAACATATAAATCACACAAAAAAGTAAAACAATATCACTAACCTAACTAATTTCCACTGGAGTTGACTATGTATTTTATGTATTAAAGAAAGAAAAAGTAATTTACCTCCCCTCTTTTTTGTGGGTGGGAGATAATCCTTTACACCAAGTGGGTGAACGATGTTTTTGATGTAGTTTAAAGTACAATGTCTAAAATATAAAGTAATTACTACTGAAAGGTTGTTATTTTGGTTTTTTTTTTTAAGTGTCAATTCATTTTAAACCCAAAATTTAATAGATTTTAAGTTTTCTTTCTTTTACAATATGATATAGTGCACAGAAAGCACCTAAAAAAACTCCCTTACACTCTTGACTGTATTTCAAAATTGTCAATAAACCAGTTCTTAACATTTTTTTTCTTCCAGGGTGAGCGTGCCACTGGATATGGAGTAGCTCTTCTTGCTACTCTCTTTGGCCACAAATCCGAACAAGAACTGTTGCGTAACACCTCGCCATTTGAGCAGGCTAATGGTCCTGTACTGGAAAATGCCAGTAAAAAAATCCGCCTTGTTTGACACGCCCTTCAACTTAGGCTTTAAAACACGGGCTTCATACTATAATCCAGTTGTCCTGGGTAGCGAGGCCAGTGTTAAACGTAGCATTTCCTGTCTGGACAGGAAACTGTTGAGGAAACTTGTTCTTTTTGAACCAAGTCTGACTTTTGTTGGCTAATCTTAATATTCTAGAACCAGATTAAAAAAAATACAAATGATTAATATTGAAATTAACATAATTGTTAAATGACTCTGGAAAAGAACTGTCAATGATTTTTTGGTGTAATGGTTACATGCGAGTATGAACATCAACAGTACGTTTTTAGATTAAGTTCCATATTATTTAGTAAGGCAAGAGTATAGACCTACCTCAAACCTTATAATTCGTAGGTTTTTTATTTTCTTCTTTTTAAGCACAAGGCACCAATCAAATAAAATTCAATTCACCTAAACAGGGGGTGGTCCGTTGTTTCCCGTAGATGAACCGCAGGATTTGATAATATGACCAATAACACACCTTCGTTTTATATTCTTTGCTACCTTTTTTTATTGTTTAAAAATCACTAGTTATGCTTCTGTTGCTTAAATTGTTTTTTTATGTACCCTCCCCTACTCCCCTTATATATATATACTGTTGTTGTGGTAATATATAACAAAACCATTATATACAAAGATATACTTCAGGTAATTAATATTAGCGATATATATTTTTACTTTAGCTAATTAATGTTAGCTACTAATACTACCTTCATGCGTGAAACCAGTTTTTAACTCTGATAAAAAAATAGGAGTTTCTATTTTGTTACGGTTACTAGTTAATCCAGTTGGTTGCTGGAGAGTCTTGATATATTTTATTCAATTTTTCACACAAAAAAAAAGTACAGCTGTACAATTGCTCTTAACTAAAACTTTGAAATGATAAGGATGATTTTAAATCTTTTTTTAATTCTTCCTTCTATAGTAACAAGGTATAAATTTCAATCCTGTACAATACCTTATCCAGGTACTTTCTCTTTACCATCAAATGCACTTTTATTAAATGTTATTTTGACAAGTAGATTCTGAAATAAATAGCTTTTATGTATCTATGCTTCGCTTATTTTCTTGAAATGTAATTTTTGGACAAGATACCTGTCATTCTGAATCATAGAGCTAAACAAGTAACAAGTATAAATATGAATGAAAACAGCTAAAAGAAGGGGGACTTAAAACTACATAACTGGTATACACTTTTAACCGGCATGGCCGTGTGGTTAGGGTGCTCGACTCGCAATCTGTGGGTCGCGGGTTCGAATCAAACATGCTCGCCCTTTCAGCCGTGAAGGTATTATAATGTGACGGTCAATCCCACTATTCGTTGGTAAAAGAGTTGGCGGTGGGTGGTGATGACTAGCTGTCTTCCCTCTAGTCTTACACTGCTAAATTAGGGATGGCTAGTGCAGATAGCCCTCGTATAGCTTTGCGCGAAATTCATAACAAACAAACACTTTTTACCAGAGTTAAGTTGACGTCATTATATATTTGTAAAATTTATGAGATACCACTAGAAGTTTGAATATTAACATTTAGGATCATGTAAGATGTTTAAGAAAAAAACATTAAAATACAATGTGGAACAATACAATACAATGGATTCCTTGGTTTGCGACCCGATTCTGCCAAAACTAAATTCACGCTCAAAACTTTGGGGGTGTGAGTGCGTTATAAGTGTAATGGTCAAATTCAGTGACGGGCTGACAAGAATTTGGATTCCTTATACTGCTTGAAAATTAGATTGCTAACGCACATACACCCTTATGTGGCTTTTGCGCAAAATACAACAAAAAATTCAAACCTACAAATAAATGACAAGAAGTATATTTTTTATTCAATTCATCTTTATTATAATATGCCTAAAAATTATCTTATTACCCTTAACATATTACCAGAAATTAATATTTGTGAGAAACCGTGACGTCACAAGTCTTTTTGATGAAGAAACCTCTCTATTAGGTAAAATACAATTAAAGAACGTCCACGTCGTGGTCAAAAACATGACTGAAAAGTTGTTAAAAAACAGTAACTTGGAAGAACATTACTTTAAACTGAAACCTAGTCACACCTAATAATTACGTAAGCAAGCTGTCCGTATTGATTAATATAAATGTTATATTTTTAAATAAGTTTTTTTTTTTCGTGGTAATTTTACGGTAAGAAAATAACTTTTTTCGATAATTCAAATTTTCTGTTATACTATAAAGTTTATTTTTCCAGTTCACCAATATTTTTACGAATTTGTTGTTGGTTTTATTACTATTAGTAATTTGAATATTAGTAAAGTTCCATTATTGTAGAGTTGCAATAACACACTGAGAGGAACATGATGGAATATTTCCTGTTTAGTAGTTTGATTTGAAGAATATTAAAGCCCAGTTACAGAAGACTGGAATTAACGTGGTGTATTACTGTTTTTGATGGGAGTATTTTCAAGGTTACGTTTCTTACATAAATGTATAGCACTATCCACGTGTTGCTATGGTTTCAAGGTTGTGACGGTTTGTTTAGAAGTGATTGACAGCTAACAGAAGATGTGATAAATTACACAGACCTGCTGATATTGATGACATACGGACAAGTTCGTTTCTCACTGCCAAACTAGGACTTTCAAAGTGAGCAACATCACATACACACGTGGGCTATGCGGCTGGGTCAGAGACCTCAATAGTTTAGATATAGCCAACTCTAAGTTTGATGTACTGACAAAATTGGAAGGGAGTCTGCAACACCCGCCGCCACGATATCGTCTGGCTCTTTCAACCGAACAGGATTTACTGTCACGTTTATAACGCGTTCACAGCTGAAAATGTAGAACGTGTTCAAGTAACGTCACATTTAACTCTCAGGTCCACTGGTACAGTAACCACTAGGCCACATTACTAAAAAAGTATTAAATCGAATGATAGAACGGGCCTCACATTTGTTTAATTATTTTCAACATTTATCTATCAATTGTCTGACATTTTTGAGTACGGTGCAAATACAATGTCAAAGTATACGGCAGATACAAGTCACATGTACTAAAATATTATATAATCTCACTCTCTTTGCAAAATGTGTCCAAAAAAAAACAAAACTAGTTTGTTCTGGAGGATATGAAATTATAGTAACTTTCCCAGGTGACATAATTTTACGTTAAGTGTTAAAAATTAGAATAAAAACGGACGATTTTGAGTTGCTATAAACCACACTAGGGTGCGAGTTATTATATACAGTTAATATCAGCCAAAAAGCTCAAAATATATTTAGTAATGTGGCCCAGTGGTTACTGTACTCTATATATATATATTTAGTAATGTGGCCTAGTGGTTACTGTACTCTATATATATTTAGTAATGTGGCCTAGTGGTTACTGTACTCTATATATATTTAGTAATGTGGCCTAGTGGTTACTGTACTCTATATATATAATTAACAGAAAACATAACACTTTTTCAATGTTTCGTTTTGCCTTAATTTACCCAATACATAGATGTTACGAGATTATTTTATTCGTCTATTTTCATGGGGTTTATAAAGACTGCCGCTTTATTATAATGTTACGCATCTGGTCGTTTGTTAATTTCCCGTATAATTTCTTTCGGATGAAACTTTAGAGATACAAGTCCTTTCTTAAATAAAACTAGTTTATTCCTTCTCAATTCAACTTTGTAATACACTTAATTTCCACAGTCACTTTAAACACACGCTATAATTCACAATGATTCACGCACTTACTCACGGTCACTACCGCGCTTGACTCAATTGTCCGTATTTATCTCTGCCTGTCTGCAATTCAATTCCGATTGATTCGTCTCACGTTATCCGGCGCACTTATATACAGGAATAGAGGGCACCTAGCACATACTAGATTATTCGTGATGTTCCCCGATCCTTTTAGAATATCATGACGTGTTACCAGCGTCACGTGACTACCGCTGTCGTAACAATAATAATGAAATCCCTATCAAGTGAATTGTACTAAGCAAAACGGTAATTTAAAGCAATTAATTTTGAAACTCCAGTATCTAATGAGAGATAAGTGTCAAAGCATACTATCCTTAATTTAAATGACGCTGTCTTTTATTGTTCCCCAGTGGCACAGCGGTATGTCTGCGGACTTACAACGCTAGAATCCGGGTTTCGATACCCGTGGTGGGCAGAGCACAGATATCCCATTGTGTAGCTTTGTGCTTAACTTCAAACAAACAGTAAACTGCCTTTTATTTGAAAACTTACAGCTTTAAATACAATATCATTAACTGAAACTGGTGCTTGGTGGGTGAGGGCTAACTGAAACAAGTTACTGGCGATGAGTATCAATGGGTTGTATTAATTACATAAATTGAAAGAGGGGATTAACAGGTTCGAAAAAATATCCACGACCAGGTTTAGAAAAATAAACATTAGGAAGTAAAATGTTGTCTTATTTGTTTTAATATCTTCGTTTTGGGCGAGATACAAAAAAAAATGCATGGAACCTTTATTGCTTTAATATAATGGCTCATTAACTTTGTTCATACTCTGGTACACTCCAGCTAGTATGTAACAAAGTTGGAGGTATTTGTGTATTGAAAATTATTCTTAAGTCGTCCTTACATTCTATATTCTCATACTGAATTTCAGGATCTTAGGATTGATGAAATTTGTTATAAACTAAGGACCTGAAATATAAACTTTCTGTCTATAAAGCATACTGTATCTGAATGAGAAATAGCCAATATACAGTGAATCAATGATTTATACAAATTGTAATTTGATACCATGAGGAATTTATTTGAGTTTGATCTGTTGTCCTAATATGTTAATTCACAATTGAAATTATAGTTGTTGTTTCTCAAATATATTTTCACAATCTTCTAAAAACGGTAACTATGCAATTATTATTTATTTTTATTTGATTTTTAAAGATAAACTGACCGGTTTGTTTGTTTTCGAACAAAACCACAATGACCTATCTGTTATCAAACCCCTGGATTTTAGTGTTATAAGTAAGTTAAATTGTCATTTTTCTATCAGGTGCTAAGCTGACAATCAAAAAAATACTATGCAGTTTTGTAAATAAAGCAATAAGGGCTCTGCTAGTTCAAAATTGAAGATTTTCAACATGTTGGCCAACATCCAAAACCACCCATTTATTATGCCCAGATTTTAGTATTGAAAGACTTTAGATTCAGAATGGTAAATAAAGTGCAAACTTAAAATACTACGCTAAGCCTGTCTACCATAAGGCATGTGTAACAGTTTAGGAAATCGTTTGAAAATAAGGAGCAAGTAAAATTAATGTATATAATTAAAAACACAATGTGTGTCAGTCAGTGCGTGCTGGCTCACATGGAAACCCAATATTCCTATTGGCGAATTGTACAGTGGTACTTTTACGTTTATACGAGTACAAAACAGAATGGCGTTTAACGTGCATTTTTCTAAACGAGTGCAAAACTATGGCGTTTATAACATTAAATTTAAAAACAATTACTCCAGTAATATAAACAAACACGCAAGGAAACACATTAGATTAATTCTTTACCTTACGGTGTCTCATAAATAACACAATATCATTATATCTCAATACAAATTTAAACAGGCGCCTAAAAATAGACAGTTAGGCCTAAGGTTTAATTATGCTTCATAAGAGGAAAACGAGGGGAGGGGGGGTACTTGCCCTCCTGGAAAAAAGAAAAATTATTTATTTATTCAGCATATGTATATGAATTTTTGTTTACTTTACTACTTTGTCCCCCCCCCCCCCTGAAATATTTCTGCGGATGCCCATGCCGCTATATAATATATGGCAATTAGCCTTAATAATAGTCACTGACAACTTCATTCATTTTCAATGCTAAATAAATTTCTAACTAACTCAGTATGGGATCCTAAAAAAAATCTATAATTAGGCCTAAAACTTAAACAAGCTTCTACTCGATAAATGACTGTACCCACTAAAAGAAAAATTCTTAAACCATTTCCGTTACTGGTGGACCTGACACTTTATTAATACTTTAGGGGAGAGTAAAAAAAAAGAGTTGATACCATTATGGAAGGAAAAAGAGAGATAAGTGAAAGAGCACAAACAAAGACAGTTGATTTTTACATTTCTTGATACCATAATTTTAAAAATTCACCATTTTATAACGTTGCTTTATCAATAGTTCTTAGTCAAAGATGGCGATTATCCAGAAAGACAAAGTGTTTATAAATAAATTGTTGTGTACAGAGATATATTTCGTTTATTCCATGTTTTTACACTTATTTGCTTTAAATATAAATACAACAACTCCATATTCTGCTTAGTAGATTTTACTTCATTCTTGTTCAACTACATGATACAACAACAGCATTATTTAAATGATTTATCAATTTAAAAGACATATCCTTCTCATATTTATAGTATTCCACTTAATAATGCTGTATATGTGAAAAAATATTTGGGCTTTGGCTCGTATAGCACAGCATGCCCTTTGCATATGGGAGTCGAGAATTCAATTCCATCTATATCCATTTTCGTTTAATATTTTGTGTGTGTGTGTGTGTGCTAAACAATGTTTTAGTACTCAAATAAATTTAGTACAAATATTGTATGCGAAGCACGGGTTTATCCCCTAGTCTATTTAATGTAAAAGTTATATTTATAAGCTGATCCAAAGTCTGAACAAGCACCTTTTCTTTAAGTCTAAATATCTGAAAATTAACTGGACTCTGCAACTGATATTTTGAACTTTTCTTGTGATATGTCCCTTGGTGGGTCAGCATTAAGTTTTGAGACTTCCCCACAATAGACACAGTGAATAGTTCAATGTGGTTTTGTTCTAAAACAAACAACAGCCCTTGTAATATTCTCACATATTGCATGTTTTCTACCTGCTTTAGTGATAGAGAAATGTTTCAATTATTTAGTTTCTGTGCTGTAAAGTCTTTAAGATTGCTTTGTTCTAGTTCCTTTCTTTATTGTAGGTAATCTCTATTCTGCTTATTATAATATTGTATTAATATAGAGCATCCAGGTCGAGCTATTTAACACTGTAATGTCCTTCGTTGGCCGAGTTTGGTGTCAAAGTTGACTAATACTGTGAGGGAGCAAAGGTTACGAGGAGGTTATCAAGTTAAAACTTATTTTAAGATCATTGTGTTTAGATCAATGGAAATCTATCTTGAGAAAGAGAGAAACTTGTGGAACTAAAGCAGCTTAGTAGAAGTGATTGTTTTTTGTGTTATGAACGGTTAACATAAACTTAATAGTATTATCAAAACAATTTTAAGTGTTAAAAATAATTGGATAACCGAGGGCCCATTTAAAATTGTTATGGATATATTGTAGAGTCCAATCAAAATATAATTTCTAGGCGTTTGTTCATGAAGACTGGGTGTCAGAGACATTGCTAGGCACTGATACATAGGTCCCGTATCCCGACTCTATATAATAGTGTCCCAAATCCCCAATTGGTATTTTGAAAAATCAGAATAGAAGACCATGATTGATATAATACTGAAACGCCAAAAATTCCCACGCCTATGCGTCTGAGCCATGAATCTTTTAAGCACTGAGCAACACCTCTGCTTGGTGTGTTATTTTCAGGTAAAAACTGCTGATACCTTGACAAGTATCAGATAGACTGACCCAAAAATAACTAAATCTTAAAAATGTCGTTTTTTGACTTAACCTAGTTTGTAGTTATATTACAATGGGTATATATATATATGTCTGTGTAATTCCTGACTTGGTGTATTTTGAAAGTTTTGATATAACTCTAAAGAACCTTATAAATAGCCTCAGCAAGATTATAATGTAGAACAAGCTTTCATATGCTAAAACAATATTTTTTGAATATTTCTTTATATTGTTCTAAGCTATATTTTCAGTTTTTTAATTTAGATGTTAACTAGAAGATGCATGCCATTAAGATCGAAAATTTTCAATTAATATCTAGACATGGCTAAATTAGTTATAAACACCGAGTAAGCAGTTGGTTGGATGAAGTGTTTGTTGAGTAGTGATTGAGAATTCAGTTAAGTATTCTATGTGTGAAACTTATAGATCAAATAAAATTAATTATGAAGTTAATCAGACTTTTTATCAATCGAGCACATTTCTTTTAAACATTATTAATGTATTAGACTTACAGTAGTTTCAATGTTTGTGTTGAAAAGTTCGTTTGCGACCTTAGGCCTACAGTTTGTATCAAAGTGAGCGTACCCCGTAGAAAACATTACTGAAAAAATTTATTAATTCGTTATTGTTACATAGACCGGACTTGGTATTTTGTTTACCAGATAATCAAAATGAACTTGCTCAACGCCAGAATACATTACAACAATATTTGTCATGATTCAAAACACCATAGATGGATAACTTATTTAATAGTAAAGATGTTTTACGTCACAAGCATCATGTATATTTTTTATTGGTAATAATTGTAGACGAGCGCTCCCTCACGTGGAAGAATACTAAAAACACAAGGTGCGCTGATCTCATGCGCGGATCAGTTCGAAGTGGCCTGTGTCGATGATTATAAGTTTGCGGAAACAAACAGACGTAAAATACACGGCGTTATTCAATTTTCCTTGCGAATGTATTGCAAATCTAAATTAGACGTTGCCGTTCATTGCATTTTGTCTGTTCATGATGAGTGAAGGCAATTCTGTTATTCCAAGCATGCAAAATATTCACCATTATAATAAATATGATGGAAAAATAGCAGGTTTATACGACCTGGGAGATGCAATAGGACGCGGCCATTTTGCAGTTGTTAAATTGGCAAGACATGTATTCACTGGTGAGAAGGTTGCCGTAAAAGTAATCGACAAAACAAAACTGGACGATGTATCTCGTGCTCACCTGTTCCAAGAGGTGAGATGTATGAAACTGGTGCAGCATCCTAATGTAGTGAGACTTTATGAAGTGATAGACACGCACACAAAACTTTATTTAATACTGGAGCTGGGAGATGGTGGGGACATGTATGATTATATTATGAAACATGACAAAGGAGTGAATGAGGAAACCGCTAGAAAGTTTTTTCAGCAGATTGTTCATGCTATATCGTATTGCCACCGACTTCACGTCGTGCATCGTGACTTAAAGCCAGAAAATGTAATATTTTTTGAAAAACTTGGAATGGTTAAATTAACAGACTTTGGCTTTAGTAACCGATATTACCCTGGACAAAAGCTGGAAACATCATGTGGATCTTTAGCCTATTCTGCACCAGAAATTTTATTAGGTGATCTGTACGATGCACCCAAAGTTGGTAAGTAAAAGCAGTGAATGACAAAATGTAGATTTTATAATGTTTTAAGTTTCATCTGTACCAAGTTTTGTTTCAATTTTATTGTTTCTAATCCTCTTCTTGTAAGCTTGTTATTAATCAGGAGATACCTTGTATTATCTTGCATGAACTTGGTCTTATTTTTATGTAGTTCGTGAGAAATTGTATTTGATATAAAGATAATTTTATTTTAGTGGATATTTGTGTTTACCCACCATGTTCATAGAGTTTGGAGATGTGTCAATTAACATACAGACAACAAAGGACTATTTAGTGCTTCAGGACTGTTCTTGCTCACCCACTCTTGAGAAAAGTAAAAATTTAAACTACTTTCTATCTTTCAGGCTTACTCTACTGGTGATGGTAACTCATTCCTTATGTCTGTTACTATGATATGTAGGCATAGAAGTACTTTTCCATTAAATTATTTAGGTACTTTTATGTTTTAGTTGTGGCCTGACTGAAAAAATTTAAATGTCAGGAAAGTCTTATGGCTAAAAATGTATAGTCTATTAAAATCTATCACGATGAAAAGTGACGGCATATTTGGTATGGTATTAAAATCTATCACGATGAAAAGTGACGTTGGCATATTTGGTATGGTATTAAGATGTATTATGGTGAAAAGTGACTGGCATATTTGGTATGGTATTAAAATGTATTATGGTGAAAAGTGACTGGCATATCTGGTATGGTATTAAAATGTATTATGGTGAAAAGTGACTGGCATATCTGGTATGGTATTAAGATGTATTATGGTTAAAAGTGACTGGCATATTTGGTATGGTATTAAAATGTATTATGGTGAGAATGATTTTGAAGTTGGGATCAGTTATATGTGGCATAAGCCATTTGTTTCAAAGATTAAGCATTGATAAACAGTGAGAAATAAAGTATAATACAAGCTAACTCAACCAAAAATAAATTAAATATTTCTTTCATCATAAGAATATAAATGGATTGTCAGAATCCAACATTTGTACAACATTTAAATACTGTGTGTTTTGTAGTGTGGAAAGAAAATTAATTTACGTCAGTTCTTGAGAGCCAGATAAACTTGTTATTGTTTGCTCTAGTATGTGTAGAGGTTTTCATACAATGGGCTATTATTTTGAAGTACTTGTAAGTGATACAGTAACCCACAATCATCGGTTGTTTGAGTTTGTGGTGTCAGCTTTCAGTGATTTTCAAGTACAGGTTAGCAGAGAAAATGTGATGTGTTTGGATATATTCTTGTTACTAGGATGATGCACTATATACAGTAATCAGACGTATCTCTGTTTTTTTTTTGTTGTATACATTTACACACTGTCATATAATACTGCCTCAAGCCAGGATGACATATACAGGGAAAATATATTGTTTATTTGCATTTTTAAAGTGTTAAACACTAAAAGTGTAATTGCTTGCTAGTTTTATATGTACAGTTTAACCATATATT